GCTACAAGATACTTCAAACTTTTAATCGTCGCCAGAAGTTGATGAATCCGGGAGCACATCAGCTAAGTCTTTATCTGTGGGTAGATTTTTGTAAAAGTCCCACAGTGATTCTGATATATACGGCAGTAAGTCCATCAGGTGCTTTTTCTTTTCTATCGTTATCGGCACAGGCTTGTTATATGCCTCCTTGGGTAATAAATTTATAGCTGCTTTTCCCCTCTTTTCTAAATCTACGGTCTTAAAAGGTTCTTCTTTGTCAAAGGACAACTTGTATTGAAACTGGTTAGATTTTTCATACCAACAAAATTGTCTCCAGTTTATCTTGTTATTTTGAGTATCAGTTTTGCGGTTAACTAATACAGAATTAAATAAGCCAACAAAATTAAGAAACGCAGAGCGCTGCATTTCTGTAACTAAAAATTGACGTTTCCTCCAAAATGTTCTATTTGACTACTAAATTTTTTCTTCTTTTTTTCTATTAAACTATGATCCGTATCGCACTCCATATGTGTATGGCCTGATAGTAAAAACTTGTGTTCAATAATTTTTAAATTTGCAGAGCATTGTAAAGCAATTAAGCAAGCTGCTGTTATGAACCTGTTCTTATTCTGGCCAGGACAGCAGTCTGAATACATTATTACGTATTCAACTTTAGGATCTAAATCTTTTGTTAGGTATTGATATAGGTATTGATATCCTCGTTGGTCTAATGTCATTACGCCTGATATTTGAGAACATTTTTTCGCTACTATAACTTCTATGAATTTCTTACTAATATTATAAGTTTTCATAAAACAGTCCTTGCAAGCAACAGAACGAACGCCATGAAGAGGGAAATGATAAATTATGGTATGCTGTCGGTACCGTTGTTTGCTTGGGTCAGAACACCTTATTCGCATAGAACTCTTCTCTTTAACATCCATGAGAGCAGCTATATATTCTAACCTACGATTGTAGCTTCCCATTTCCCAGAATTCTTTAAAAAGTTGCAAGCGAAATTCGTCCTTTATTTTTTCCTTGCACTTATTTCTAGATAATTTCAGTTCTTGCATAGTTTTTTCTTTAATCTCTTTTCCAGTTCTTGTAACATACGCCTTACCAAAATTTCGTTTTTCTCGTCTCTCTTGTCTCATTTTTCTCGTTTCTTTGTTCGTGCGTTTTTTAACTTTCTCGTGGACTTGCCCGTCTAAGTTATATTTGTCTACTGCAGTATTATTTATATCTTCATCTGAATTGGGTCTTCTTTTTTTTCTTTCTACTATATCGCTGTCCGCAGCAAAGCTATCATATTTTTCATCCTTCGCAGGGACAAAATTTGGATCTGCAAGACTATCATCTGATGAAAAATCTAATGGATTTATAATGGAAAATTATAAAAGTCCATACCATTTACTTCATAATGTTATAATTCATTTATACTAAACTTTCATTATTAATAATTAAAAATTAATATAAAAAATATGTATTTTCCAAAATCTAGCCTTTGGTGAATTCGGAAAATAGTTGCTAAAAGTGGACCCCCTTAAAAATTATTAACAAAGTTGTACCAATAATTAAAAAAAAAAGTATTAAATAAAAGAAAACATGATCTACTTTCTAAATAGACGTATATTGGAACAATTTCGAATATAAAAACATAAAATATACAAAAATATTTAGCAAAATTATTAATTTATCTGCAAAAATCGCATATGTAGGCATCCTTATCAGCCTCAGCACAATCCACATGAGCCCACAACGAACACATAATGCACAAGACCCAAAGTTTGCCTTTACAATCTTCCGAATATTTTCTGTTACAAAACATGCACAAAGCGTCATCCTCTTTAGTTGGTGACATTCCCGGAATAATGTCAAATTCAGATGTTCCAGAATAGACACTGATTTCATCTTCTGTGTCTGATTCTTGTTTCTTAAAATTTAGACATCTTTTTACTATCTCTTTCCCTTTTCTAGAAGGGCCTGCTGTCGACATTTGGGCACTTTCCTCTAATAAATATTTTAAAATTTCCGATTTGTATGCCTAAATAGTTTTTATAAATTTGCTCAGATTTTTTTAGTTTGGAGATTGTCACTTTTGATGTCATTTCAAAGATTGCACATGCGCAGTTGACGGATCGGGTCCCTGTAATTAATCGCTCCTACTTTTTTGGTCTTCTTTTCATAACGATTAGATTCCCTCGTTTGTCTTATTGCTCGATGTACGCGACCCATGGTATAATTAAAACTGTTTTTCACACTACTTTTTACACTTAGTCTCACACAATGAACAACAGAAAATTATTAATTAATATAATTAAAAAGAACACAACAACTAACACAATATACGAAAAAACTAAAAATCCCGACAGCCAACTCTGTAATCGACGAACGTAATTTGGTGGCACGCGCCAGACGATAATTATAATCAAACTGGAATATATTCTTTTCTAACATCAAAAACATTAGCCAGACAGTGCCGCTAATGGCGGCTCCCTCACATCGACGTTGTCAGATCCGCTGGAAAGTTCGAGCGTCTTCTGATTTGGTCATTACTTTTTTGAAAATTTTGAAGCATGGAATGTAGGACTTACATTCATTTTTATTGAATACATTATTAGTTCATATATTAAGAAAAATCATATTAAACGCCGCACTGTTGCATTTTTTTAAATAAACGTATCATTTTCAAATTAACAAAAAAAAATTTTGGTTTTTCAAAAATATAAAAACATAGCGATAAAAAGCCTTTTTTTTTGAAGCAAAACCCAAAATTTTATTTATTTCAGTTAAGCCGTTTTCCTTCATTTTTATGCCCCGTTTACTCATTTTTATGGCTGGTACACAGGCCTCTTAAGGTATTTTATAATCTATTTGAATAATATGTTTGGGTATCTGTCTTTTTGTTTGTGCTTATAAAAGAAATATGGATACAGAAGTCCCTCCCCAGTGATTGGAATATTGAAATACTTTGCACCATACACAAAAAGGGAGATATCTTTGAATGCTCTAACTATCGAGGAATTACGCTCCTAAATGCAGCGTTTAAAATATTGTCCAATATACTATGCCATCGTATGGCACCGTATGCAGAGCAAATAATAGGACAATACCAGGCTGGTTTTAGAGGTGGTAAATCAACAATTCATCAGATTTCAACCCTGAGACAAATTCTAGAGAAAAAACTGGAATACGGTGTAGACACACACCACATATTTATAGACTACAAGGCAGCCTACGACTCTGTAAATAGAAGAGAAATGTTTAGCAAATCAGTTGGTAAGTCTAATCAAACTAACCCTTGAAAAAGTTGAATGCAGAGTACGAATCCAGGGGGAACTCTCTGAACCTTTTAATACAAATAACGGGCTACGTCAGGGAGACCCACTCTCCTGTATACTATTCAATCTAGCTCTGGAAAAAGTAATACATACGTCACAAATCACAACTACCGGTTCAATATATAACAAATCTGTGCAAATCCTAGCATATGCTGATGATATCAATATTGTTGTAGATCGGAAAACGCAGCACGAGATGCGTATGTAGCACTAAAGGAAGCGGCTACAAAAATGGGTTTAATAATAAACAATAATAAAACGAAATACATGAAAATAGGTTTGCAACCACAAATACAACGGCCACTAGAAAGCCCATAGAAAACGACGTCATCGAAGCAGTTAACGAATTTGTATACCTGGGAACGCTCATCAATACTGAAAATGACATTACCGCAGAGATAAACGACAGAATTTACACGGCTAATAGATGCTATTTTAGGCTTAATCTCCTTTTTAAATCTACAGCTATATCAAGAAATACAAAAGTAAAACTCTACAAAACAATAATACGAGCAGTCCTAACATATGGTTCAGAAACCTGAACTTTAACAAAAAGCAATGAAAACATGTTAGGATGTTTCGAAAGAAAAATACTGAGGCGAATCTATGGAGCGGTAAATGGAAATGGTGTCTGGAGAAGACGATACAACTTCGAACTCTATATTCTATATTCTTATTCTATTCTATATTCTATATTCTCTATATTCTTCGACTCAGCTAGAAAAACCTTGATATACCTATTGGTCAAAGAAGAAAAGAAAGACCCAGAACAAGATTCCTAGATAACACAGACCAAGATATGAGAAATATGGAAATACGTGCTTGGCGGAGGAAGGCGATGGATAGGGACGACTGGAAAAATTCTTGGGGAGGCTAGGACCCACACAGGGTTGTAAAGCCAAAATGATGATGATGATGAAGGTTTGTGCCACGTAGCCCAAAGAATTTATATTGCTTCTAAGAGGTCATGTGGTACATATGTTGTGCCATGGCACTGCCTGGTATTATATACTATAAAGACAAAGTAACCGCCTCGAGAATCAAGAGACTCGTGCAAGCCAGTCTGTTGTTAGCTCCTTAGATGAACGGAGTTTTTAAGAATAGCAGTAAAGTGAATGTAAACAAGGTGTATGCACAATGGGAGATTACGAAAAAGAGCAGAAACGCATTATACAGTAATGGGATGAACTAATCTCGGATGAGGAAAGTGATTCTGTAATAATAGGCTATGTTTATTCGTCTGATGCTTACTCTCCTAATTCGCTAGCTTTGAGTGACTCGGAAGACGTTTTTCTCGCAAAAAATCGCAAATTATGTCGGGAAGTAAATGTTACAATGGATTCCGCAGCATCTTCAAGCCAATCAAATAGTTTATGGTGGCTTACACACCGTGTAAGCCACGATCCTCAAAATACCTGACTGCATTGAGGTACCACATATGTGCCACGCGGTCCAAACAACAAAATTGGGTGTGGCACGCGCATTATACCACATGGCACGTGTTAATATATGATGTACATAATGAAAGATACTATGATTAAGTAATTTAAGACATTAATTTGGCAGTTAATCTACTAAAATGTTTTGAAAATAACAAAAAAAGAGAAAACATCTAGTATGGCAGCCAATTTCCAAAATTAATTGGACAAAGAGTTTACAGATTTAAACTAAATAATTTACCTCTGCAGCTGTTCATTCCTTCAGGTAGCTTTCTAATGTTATCTGCATCCAACCTATCATACATGTTTCCTAATGCGACATCACAGAGCAATGCTAATCCTATGGGGTTTAGGCTGTTAGCAAAGCAGTAATTGGCTGACTTAGATACCATATCAGCAAAGTAAATACCTTTTCCAAACATTGCGCCACTGTTGGGAGCTTCCGCAGGAGCTATTCGAAGTCCTTGCGATAAAATACCTAAAAGAATTTAAAATGGTATGATAATATAAACTATTTTCAGCTATAATTGAACTGAGACTGAGAATGACACCAGTAGAATAATATTATTACAGGGATTAATATTAAACTTAACAGTCTTCGGGATTGAACTGCGTCGATTATCATTGTGCCGAGCTTTCGACATCCTCTTTGATGTCTTCTTCAGAGTTTCCGAGGTATAAGTCTCCCGATCCTAGACACTACTACACTGATCACTAACCTATGCATTACTAGTTAGTTTTAGTTATTAGATTTTTTTTTAACAAAATTTGTTTCATTCTTAAAGAAATATGATAATAAAAATTAAACTGATTGTGAGTAAGTCTTATTTATTTCTGTTTTACCTATTTGAAATGGACTCACACAGGCAAGACATTCATGAATTCACATTCATGATTACAATACTATTGCTTTGCATACAACATTTCGATACATTCAGACACAGGTTACACGCCGTTTGAATTATTATTCGGAAAAACCTGTAGACTGCCGACAAATGTACAGAACGAGATGGAACCGCTATACAATTTTGACGATTACCTCTTAGAGCTGAGATACAGACTGCAAACAGCAAGGAAAGAGACCAGAGAAACTCTAACAAGTTCAAAACGAGTCAGTAAAAGAAGGTATGATACCAAACCAGGCATAATAAAATAAATAAAAGGTATTAGGAAAGAGTCATCTTCTAAACTAGATCGTTTGTTTTCTGGTCCATATACAGTTATCTAAGATAAAGCACCTAACATTATCATAAATAAAAACAATAAACACTTTACGAAAGACACAGAAACAAACCAATTCCAAAAAGGGAGAAAGGTATTAAATATCAAACAAATTCGTGAGGTGACTTACCTGCAAAGTTTGTCACTCTGGAACCATGCCACAAAAGCTTGTGATTATGCATTTGTGAGAATTTGTTAAATCTTTCTTCCTCTCCCTGCCTTTTTATGGTATAAACTTCTTCAACAATCAACTTGTATTGATTATGAGTAACTGTATGTGTAAACCTCACGTAATCTTGAATAATCCGGAATTCTCTAGAGTTTTTATCAAGTATGCCAATTTCTGTATTTAGTCCTTTATAGTAATCGTCTACACCTTTGTTTGCAGTCTGCATTAGGTTATATGCGATTTCAAGTTCCAGTAAACTATTCAGCATTTCAACTTTTTTTTTAATAATATCTTCATTATCCATTACTGGAGGAGTACCCAATCCAAATGAATGAGGGATAAACGTAAAAAATCTATTAGATGCATCTATGAATAGGGCACGGTCTGCTTTAGCGGAGACTAACGTTTGTAGCTCACTTAGAACCCCGAAAGCTTTCTCCATTTGAGCTTTACTCAATTTTCCCAGTGGCATCTTCTGGGTGTCTAACTCAAATTCCAGCATCAGTTTTTGCATGGCATTTATGTCAAATATCATTCTAAGTAAATCTTGAACAGATGTTGGCAAGACAGAAGGCGTTTCTGAAATTTCATACTTTTTAAGATCTTCTTCAGCAAAATCGACATCAATTGGATACATCATATTCGGCTGCTTTTTAAAGTTATGTCTATTATCCCATTCATTTCCGGTTTTCTTTTTGTATTGCTCGACAAAGAAATTCTTGGCTGAGTCTAATGTGGAAAAAGGCAATGTCTGACGATCTCCAATATTTGTACCAATTCTAAAATTTTTAAAATAAGTATATAGGCATAAAATAATTCTAGGTAAGTTTAATAGATTTTCTGGTATATAGAATGAGCTAAGCTGGTATAAAACAGAACAGGGGCAATCAGACTAGTGGTGAAGAAAATAGAAAAGATTTGAATGGATATCACACCGATCCAGAAAGTCATGCTCCAACATAGGATAAAGACGGCACTGATAAAGAAGCTTTCTATGATAATTTGGAGAAATACCAAAACAGGATATGTTATGTATTGGCACTGAAAATTGTACAAAAAAGTAATAATAACAATAACAATTAAAATTTACTAAAATTACATAAATCGTCATTATCACAGAATAAAATATACAATCCATTGCAAAATTTCACTAAATTGCAAATTGCATAATAAAACCTTACAAACTAGTTTATGAATAAGTTTAAGCTGCTGAAAGTGATACCAAAATATATATAAAAATACTTTGTTGCTTGTACCTAAATGTACTGTACTTTCTTAATTATGTGTTAAGAAACTCTTCCTCTAAATAATAAGGTCTTTCAGATAGATAGGCTTTTGTCAATTTACGGAACTTAAGGAAAGAAGTTGTAGATTTAAGTTGCAAAGGAAGATGGTTGTATAATTTTTTTAACGAATATAATATAGATTTCTTTACTAACTCAGAGGGTGGGATCAGTAAATACACATCAAAGCTTGAATTTCTGGTGGAGTAGTCATGACTAGGTCTTGCTGGAAAAATATGTAGGTGTTTACGAATTAAGCAAATAGTTTCTAGAATATATAGAGAGGGAAGAGTTTTAAAATCCCGTGATTTTTGAAGTAGCTTTTACAATGTGTTATTCTACTGAGGACAAAAAGACACTGTATTGCTCTTTTTTGTAATTTAAAAATAACATCAGATTGGGCAGCTGTACTAGAGCCCCAAAAAGGAAAGCCATTTCAAACATGAGACTCTAACAAAGAAAAGTATGTTATTTTGGAAGATGCTAAATTCATTTCCTTATTAGTAATATGAATGCTTACCTGCCCCAAGCTTGAAATACCCAATAGGAATGAAGTGAGTCCTGTTCAAGTAACTGCAATTTGTGGTAGCTGTTTTTTCCTAGCTGAATATCAGTAAGACCTAACACAACTGTATACTTTGTATCACCCTCTTCGTATACATGTGCACAATCTACCAAATTTGATTCAGGATCAACAGCAGAACCCCCTTTTAGTTTAATAGTAACCTTAGCTGGCCCTGATTTACTATAAATACTTTTGTACTGAACAGTATCCTTTTTTGGTAAACGATCAGTAGGATCTGAACCCCACTCGCAAATGCTTTTCTCTATAATTAAGTCAGCTATTTTACCAACATTGTTTTTAGCTTCATCTAGAAAATCATCAGGAACTACATGAATATCATATTTCTCTACTTGTTGCATTCTCTTGTTCATTTTCTCCACTTCTTGTGGAGTGGAAATAATGGCTGCCACTTTCTCATCAATTTTTGTAATAAGCTTTCCACCCATGGATAATATCTGTTTTTTAATTTCATCTTTACCTAAAAACCAACATTATATCATATACCCTGGCGTGACAAGTAATGTTGCCTACATATTTCTATCACCCATTAAAAAAAGTGTTATAAATGTTTAAGGAATTCTAGTAGCTGCTGTTGAGAGACATATACGACAGAAAGTAACAAAGCAAACAAGGATTGGGTACAATATAGCATAAGTCATCTGGAAACATACTTTCATACATAGATAACAACTAGTGAAAGTCCATCAAGAAGTCCAATGGGCAAGCACAAGGGGCTCAGCAAGGAAAATGTTTAACTATCTATTGAAGCAAGCCATAGGCCCATTTTAGCTTTTGATAGCAAAAGCTAAAACTCATCAGCATAGGGGTAGAAAGGTGTATGAAGCAAATGATACAATATGCTTGTAGAAGATTGTATATCATTAGGTGTACACAGTTATCTGTGATTTACAATCCAACAGTGACTGAATGAAATGTTGAAAAGCTCTACCAGACAAATATTACTAAAATCATAATTGGTGCCTTAAAGAGATGATGAAACATATCAAATCAACTGTGTCAATTAAACATAATTTTTAAATACTATATAAAACAATTTGTCTCACCTTTTGGAGGTTTGCCCACAATAACAAAAAGCATGTCATATAAAGCTGGAGGTTCCTTATCTACTCTTGGTTTGAAATAATTGATTTCACTTTTAGCACTTGTACTAGGCATTTCGCTTAATATTATTCTAGTTCTTGGCTCATAAATATAATCAGCTAGTTTGTTTTTTGAAAGTGCAGGCGGTACTGTAAATTGTTGTCTGGCAGGTTCCCTTTCTGAAGCATCACACTTTGCCCATTCTGACAATCTACCTGAGCACATATAACCACCATTTTCAAATACAAGTTGACCTTTGCACTTTTTGCATGGGAGTAGTGCTCCAAATGTCATTGCATCTGCTAGTCTATCTAGCATCGCTACCTTGTCTTCAGGCACAATCTGGTTATTAATTTCCAGTAAACTTTTTAGATCTTTTGGTGTTAATTTACTTAATTTATCTCTATAGTCAAACATAATCTTATTTTGAGCTTTGTAGAGTTTTTTATCACCCCTTTTTAATTCATTTTGAGATGTGTTTAGAATAGTAGATTCTATTTTTACTTTCTTTATTTCTGGATCATCAGGATTTACAGCATACAACTCTTTTAAAACCAAATCTTGATCCTGCGGTTTTAAATCCTTAAAGCCTGGTAATTTGTCAGCAGCTTCAAAATAACCCAAACCTTCCCTTAATGCAACAAAACAAGTAACATGGTGCCACATATCCTGTCCATCAAATTTTTTTCCAACTTCTGTATCATAATTTTTCTTTGAAATTCGTATTTCATTTTTAAGAATCTTATGAAGACACCCACGGCACATAGCTCTTCCAGATTTTGCATATTCTATTTTAAAGTCTTTTAACGCTTTTTGTTTTTGTTTAATAGCTATACCAGCGCCTCGTTTCTTTCCTGTAGGAATTGTATCCGGAAGAATATGAACTGTAGATGATTTAACACTTTTTTTTATTTTATTTTGATCAGATATTTTCAATGACTCAAAATTATAAATATCAACGGTGTTTTTTGGTCTTTGCTTCCTGAAGAAGCATTTAAAATCATACCAATATTGGACTTTATTATCATCTTTTAAATCTTGAACACAGACACCAAGACGTAAAGCACCTGTCGGAATTGTATTCCAGCATCCTCTGCATGTTTCGCTTGTGGTCGAGTATTCTGCTAGGTATGGATATTTTCTGCTAGCAAAGGCTGCTGATGTAGATTGGTGTTGCGTGAATGGGTTTCTCATGTAGCTCCACTTATTAGTATCGGACATATAATCGTCATTATCACTATCATACCACTTCCAATAGCTCATTTTTAACACAACAGAAACGTAGAAACTAGAAATACCACCTATACTTTCAAAACTAAACACTGTAGAAAAAAAGTAATGTTTAAAAAAAGTAACGTTTATTTTTTCAAATGTTTACATCCTTTGTTTGTAATTGTATATTCCCTCTAAAATAATAACAATGACATTGACAGGTTTCAAATCTTCTTTATAGTATCACTGTTCTGTGGTATTGGCCTGGCTCTGTCAGTTGCACAAGTACACAATCCAAAGAAACAGAAAGAGGAAGAAGAATAGTTTTGGCTGTGCAACCCTATCTCCTTGTCGTTCCGTACATTTGTCTAATTTATTTAATTAAAATTATTATTTTGTGGAATATTAGACTTAAAGAGTTATTTCATAAAATTTATATTAATAATATTAACAAATGTTTTTAGTTATTTAATCAATATAATTCTAAAATTTCCAATATAATGATGATTACATTTTTCTGATTATTACACCATGTTGACGCCTATGAAAGATCGAGCGGTTCCGTATCGGTTTCGTATTATAATATTAGCTGTGTTAGGAAAATTTAAACTCCAAGGTTGACGTTCTGTAAATTTTAAATATAAGTGACGTCACTTTATATAAATTGTGACGTACAAGCATTTTTATATGAAAAATGCTATTATGGTTATTTATGGCTATTTAGACAAGGAAAGAGAGAGGACGCGTCAATGACATTATGTGGTGATTTGAACGTGATTTGACATTGCCTATCCCTATTACGTTGTGATTAGTGTTCTGTGCTATTACCAATCCAGACTTGTGCAGACGTCCAACGTACCAATGTTCATAAGCGTCTATTTTCTTTGGTATCATCATAGAGAAATAGTTATTTCTCTATGGGTATCATCACAGTATAAAAATAACAACGTTACCAATCTAAGTGTAATTTTATCTATGAAGAGGAAGTGAAATGAAAAAAAATAAAAATTAATTTGTTAATTAGATAATTGAGTTTGAACTAAATAAATTTGCTTAGTTTAAATATGTAGAAAAGCAATTTTGGTTAAATTCGATCCGTCTCATAAAATAGGACATTCGAATCTTTGTGGACTTATGCGGTCGTAACTATGACTCTTCTTCTTCAGGTGCCATCTCTGCTACGGAGGTTGGCAATCATCATAGCTATTTTAATTTTTGAGGCAGTAGCTCTAAATAGTTGTTTTGAGCTGCATCCAAACCATTCTCTCAGGTTCTTAAGCCATGAAATTCGTCTTCTTCTGCCATCTAACTTTCCTTCCATTATGAGTCACAGGATGCCATACTTCTCGCCCCGCATCACATGTCCGAGATTCTTTCTTTCTTTAATTGTAAGTTCAACTTCCTTCTCTTTACCTATTCTTCTCAGAACTTCATTGTTCGTAACTCTATCTACACAGGAAACCCTCATAATTCTTCTATAGGTCCACATTTCAAAGGCGTTAAGTCGTCTCATTGTGTTTAGATTTAACGTCCATGATTCCACTCCATAGTATAGTACACTGTATACGTAACATTTTGTAAGGCGTATTTTAAGAGCTTATGTTAAATATTTGTCACATAGAACCTTTTTCATTTTCATAAAATTAGAACGTGCTTTTTCGATTCTGACTTTGATTTCTGCAGTGTAGTAATTATTTATGTTATAAGTGTTCCTAGGTAAGTGTACTTTTTACTCTTTTGATCTGCTGACCCTCTATCAAGATTTCGTTAGTATTGTGGTTGTTTTTACAAATTTTCATAAACTTCGTCTTTTTGATATTGAGCGAGAATCCGTACTCCCTACTACACATTACTATTTTACTTATGAGTCTTTCCAGGTCTTGTAAACTATCTGCTATTATTACTGTATCATTTGCATATCCGATGTTGTTAACTAATACTCCATTTACTCTTATGCCGACTGTTTCATCTTCCAGAGTTTCTCAAATTACCTCTTCAGAATAAGCGTTAAATAATAGAGATGGTAGTATGCAGCCTTCCCTGACTCCTCTCTTTATTTTCATTTCTTCAGATGTCTCTTTTTCAATTCGTACTGTTGCTCGATGATTGTAATAAAGGTTTGTTATTAGCCTTAAATCTCTTAAATGTAGGTTTTTACTTTTTAGAATTTCCAGAAGTCGGTCATGTTTTATTTCATCAAACGCTTTATTGTAGTCTATAAAACAAACATAAAGAGGACGGTTAAGATCCAAACATCTCTGTATCAGCACGTTGAAGGAGAATAATGCTTCTTTGGTACCCATACCATTGCGGAGCCCATATTGCGTGTCACTAATCTAAAACTCCAGTTTAGAGTGAATTCTGGCGTTGATAATTTTCAGCAGAATTTTCAGGGTATGTAACATTAAGCTTATGGTTCGATAGTCACTGCAGTCTTTAGCAAACACACAAATGCTGATGTCAACATTTCTCTAGGGATGATTCTCGTAGTATAGATAGCGTTGAACAGTTCTATTATGTCCAGGTTTTTCTCGTTGACCAACTTTAACAGCTCGCTTGGTAATTTATCTGGACCAGCCGATTTATTGGTTTTCATTGAGATTAATGCCTGACTAACCTCTGATTTGGTTATCTCTGGGCCTACATCTTCCGTTTGGCTATCTACGATGTACTAGCTTCTCTCTGGTCATGAAATAATTCCTCGATGTACTCTTTCCATCGTCGTAGTTTTTGTTCTGTCTCCAATATAATATTTCCATTTTTGTCGAGTAATATATTTGAGGTTCTTCTATTTCCTACTCCGGCTAGTTCTTTGATTTTTTTATGTAGATTAAAGTTGTCGTATCGGTTTAGCAGTTCTTCTATTTCTTTACATTTTTCAGAGAAGTGCGTTTCTTTAGCCTCCCTAATTTTTTTTTATTTGGTTTTGAAGCTGTGTATAGCGGATCGTATTGATGGTTTCGTTTTTGTCCTTTCATTCATCAACTCTAGAATTTCCTCGGTCATCCATTCTTTTTTTTCTTACATTTGGTTGTAAGTACTTTCTTACTTGCTCCAATATAGAGGTCTTGAAGAATTGTCACTGCTGCTCTACGTTGCAATTATTTCTTGGGTTTCTATCTAGATTTGTGTTGATTTCGTGTTTCAGATTTTCTTTTGTTTCTTCTGACTTTAGTTTCTGTATGTTAAGTTTATTGTTGTTGCGGCTTTTTTAGTTGAAGTTGAAACCTAGCAATAAGAAGACTGTGATCAGAGGATACGTCTGCTCCTGGATAAGCCTTTACTGCCTGAATCGAGTTTCGATATCTGTGTTTTATTAGGATGTAGTCAATTTGATTTCTGACGATTTTGATGTCTTTGTCAGTTGGCGATTTTCATGTATAAAGACGTCGCTTAGGTAATTTAAAAAATGTATCTGCGGCTGTAACATTATGCTCCTGGTAAAATTCTATTAGGCGATCTCCTCTGTCGTTTCATTCACCAAGCCCGTATGGTCCTACATTAGGACAGCATTTTCCTTTGCCAATTTTTGCATTGAAATCACCCATGATCACTGTTATATCTCTAGATAGTGTTTTTTGAAGTTCGCTATAAAAGTTTTCTATTTATTCTTCATTTTTGTCAGCAGTTGGTGCATAAATCTTAATTAAGTTCATTTTCCATGGGTTGTCAATAGCTGCAGCATTATAATTCTTTCGGACATTGGAACGAAGCCTGTTCTCTATGACTTTTGTCTTCTTCTAGTTCCATGACCGTTATCGATCGTTGGATATCATGTTGGCTACCATATTCGCTATCGTGACTTTATTGACAGCAGCTCTAAATAACGATGTAGTTGATTTTCCATACCATTGCCTTAGATGACTTTTGTAAGGTGGCAATATATCAACAAAATGATTTTGCAAAGTTCAGACCAAACCCATTGTTTAGAAAAAATCCCAAAATCGATGTTTATGGTCATCGTCATCAAGGTAGGGAGAAGGACAGTTGGTTTATATTTTGATTTGGATTCGTTGGTAGGAGTGATTGTTAGGAGGTTCCCAGGGAACGATAGTCACATTTTACCTTTGCTCCTGTATTGTCGTTTACGTGGAAAGAATGTCACAAATTCAAAATAAAACAACCATCATAAAATTGTACAGTTTATTTGAAGCATTAATAAGAACTAGTTAATAATTTATAAAAAAAAGATTAACATCTAGATGTTTGTTTACGGAAATGTAGCATACACGATAAAACTGATTTAAACCTAAAAAACGAGACTTCATATATATGTTTTTAAAACATTATCCTAGATTGTTGCCACAGAACACCAGCAACTTCATTTAAATTGATTATTATTATTATTAGATTATATTTCATGATTAATGTTTATTATAAAACGGATCATGTTCCTTCTAAAATGTAATCAAATAGTGTGATTTCTTAATTCCACATTTAACTAAACAAATATTAACATTATACTTGGAAAATTTAAACTACAGTACTTCAATCCTCATAGAATTCTAACTCATTAATGGTTCGTCAAAACCAAAATGAGCCATTTTGAATTTTTCTAATCTTTTACTCATTAGACAACCGTTGATTGTTGAATTAATAAATAAATTGGAAAACGTAAATTAATTTATATGATATGAATAACGTTCGTTAATTAAATGTCAAATGAAAAGAATTTTAAAAATCAATCATTAATACTTGAAATATCAAGAAAACTCAATAAATGTGTTTTTCTTTTAATAAAATGAGATATTATTTCTATTACACTTAACGTATGCTACAACACATGCTTATGTATTATATTGAGGGTATATTTTTTGATAAGTACACACCAAACATGGAAACGTGATTTATATTGTATAGTTTGTTTAAACTTCTTCCTTAGATTGAGAAGCAGAATCGAGAATGATTTCGAACGAGAACGGCTGGAAACCATAACCAGTACCTTTGTAGAACTTGCTTTGAAATTCCACCCTGTAAGATTAAGAAAATAATTAATTAAATAATTTAAATTGTGATTAAGTTCCATTTAAAAATAAGAAGTGGTTCGAACCACTTGGTTTATGTTGACAGAATAGTCATTAACGCGTTTATGAACAAGACAGTACCTGGGTATTTTATTATACAGGGAACGACTAAATTATGGAATATTATCATTATTTCGAGAACCGTCGAGTTTTGAGGGAAATCCCGAAACGATTTTTCGGAAATCGGGAGGGAAGTCGATTTTTGTTATAAAATGTAGGGATGACGTCACCGGTGTGGGTGTAGTGACGTAATCGTTAATTTTTTTTAAAGAGAAATCGGTATAATGCGACACCTCACCTCATTTAAATTAACGACATTACATTTTTAACTAAAATATTTTTTAAGGGTACAAAAACAATCGTTTTTAATTTAAAGTAACCACTCCTCCTCCTCAATCCTTTAGCCCTTGTCAGGGCGTAGTGACACCCTAAATATTATTAGTCTGCTGTCTCCATTGACTGCGATCTTGTGCCATATGGACTGCTTCATGTAGGGATTTTTCCATCAAACTCTTCATTTGGTCCACCCATCGTATTGGAGATCTTCCTCTTGGTCTTCGGCCTTCTACCTTACCTTCTACTACCAATAGTTCCCTGGTGCCCGTTCTTCTAGCTATGTGGCCGAAGTAAGTGAGGTATGCTTGGTTTACTTTTTTTAGTAGCCTGTCTTTTATATGAAGCTCTTCCAGAATTGACAGGTTGGTTCTATGTTCTGTCCAGGACACACGTAGAATTCTTCTATATACCCACATTTCGAAGGCTTCGATCTTACTCCTATCGATTTTTTTGAGAGTCCATGTTTCAGCTGCATATGTAGCAATGGGAAAAATAAGGGCATTGACCAACCTAAGCTTAGTATTCCTTGTTATTGTTCGGTCTTTCCATATTTTAATTAATTTAGCAGTTGCGGTTCGGGCCATTCCTAGTCTACGTTTGATTTCTGAGGAACAATCACCATTGTTGGTTATCAGAGAGCCCAAGTATACAAATCTGTCGACTACTTCGAAAATCCCTATTTGGCGTATATGCAGTAGATTATTATTTGCTCTGTCTACAATCATTATTTTTGTTTTTCTGGTGTTGATTTGAAGTCCGAATTCTTCACTTATTCGGCTTAGCCGTTCGATGATGGTAATCATTTCGACTTCATTCGCTGTTAGTATAAGTGTGTCATCTGCGTATCGCAGGTTACTGATTTTTCTGCCTCCTATAGTGATTCCTCCATCCCATTCATCTAGTACTTTTCTCATTATATATTCAGAATATATGTTGCACAATAATGGTGATAGTATGCAACCTTGTCTAGTTCCTTTCTCTGTTTTGAATGCATTTGAATATATTCCATGTACTTTAACTTTGGCTGAGTTTTTATTATACAGATTTCTTATTAGGTTAACTAGGTGGTTAGGTACTCCCATATTTTCCATTATACTCCAGAGAGGATCCCATTTTACTGAATCAAAAGCCTTTGTGTAATCTACAAAACAGAGCAACATTGGTATGTTATGTTCTCTCGCTTTTTCTACTATCTGTCTGGTGTTGAGTAAAGTAACCAAATTATGCATAATTATTTTAAATTAAATGTTCGAAATGCCATCCATCGGTTTCTTGACAATATGTGAATCTACGGACACATTCATCAAGTACACTGCAGATGACTTACTGGATTACTGGAGTAATTAGACTCATTTCATGCCTAATTGTATCTTTCAAGTCCTGTAAGTTTGGGGGTCTATTGACATAAACTTTTGATTTTATGTAACCCCACAGGAAAAAGTCTAGAGGTGTTAGATCTGGCGACCTTGCTGGCCACTCTATAAAACCTCGTCTTCTGATCAACCTCCTGGGAAAGCAATGATTTAAAAATTGACTCCACGTGCATAATGCGAAAGGGCTCCATCTTGTTGAAACCAGATATTTTCACTAGGTAAATTTGGATTGTTGACATTTGAATACATGTTAGCAATGACAGGTATAAGTTGATTTCTCAAAAAAGTTAAATAACGTTCTCCTGTTAGATTTTCTTCAAAGAAAAAAGGGACAATGATTCTGTCATTAATGATCCCTGCCCATACATTTACTTTTTGAGGATATTGCGTGTGTGACTCAGTCATCCAATGTGGGTTTTCTTGACTCCAATATCTGAAATTTTGATGATTCACGGTACCATGTATAAAAAATATGGCATCATCGGAAAAAAGGATTTGATTGATGAAATATGGATTGCGGATACATAAATCCTGCATAATTTCAGAAAATTTAAGCCGGCGATCGGGATCGTCGTCGTTTAATTCCTGATGTAGTTGAATTTTGTAGGCATGGTATTTTTCTTTTTTTAAAATACGTACCACGTAATACCTATCGTTGGGAAACTCCAGCATATTCACCCATTTGTGTTGAACCACTATGAGGATTGTCATATACATTTAATAAAATATAAAGTTTCACATTGTCTTTCAAGTTTCAACTTTCAAGTTTCACATTGTCGCAAAATCAAAACATTTACGTCAATAAATATTACAGTCACTATGCCACTATCACTTGCTTGAATTAACATTTGACAAAAAGTTTCAATGTTTATGAGATAACTTTTTGTGTCCATTATTATTTTTACTTATTTTTGCTTTTTGAAGTATTTACTTCAGAAAGTCATGGCAGGAACCGATGGATGGCATTTCGAACATTTAATTTAAAATAATTTTTATGCATATTTTGGTTACTTTAAAGTACATTATGAATTAAATCATTAGTTGTAATTTAGTTGAATTTAAATTAAAAAAAATTGTTTTTGTACCCTTAAGAAAATATTTTAGTTAAAAATGTAATGTCGATAAATAGAGAATTAAATTCTCGTTTAAATGGGGTGTCGAGTTACACCGATTTCTATTTATAAAAATTAATGATTACGTCACTATACCTACACCGGTGACGTCATCCCTACTCCATGTACGTTATAAGACGGGTATTTTATAACAAAAATCGACCTGCTTCGGGATTTCCCTCAAAACTCGACGGTTCTCGAAATAATGATAATATTCCATAATTTAGCCGTTCACTGTACATATACATATAAATAAGACGTTTTTATATTATATTTTAATGTAAACAAAGTTGCGCATGCAAACTTACCAATGCAAACGAAGAGTATGCAGGAATGCTGATAGTCCTTCCATGAGTACCAATATAGAGACGGTGAGAACAGCCCAGAAAGCGAATATTACATACAGAGCTACTCCTCCAGCCCACCCATCAACTTTCAGCCCTTTACTCAAAACCATAAGCCATAACACTTCAGAAAGTTCTACAAATTTTAAACAAAAATATAGTAAATAAATATATATATATATATATATATATATATATATATATATATATATATATATATATATATATATATATATATATATATATATGATTAATACTACTACATATGATAAATATAATCGTCTAAATGTCAATTTAGACGATTCGCGATTAAATAATCATGTGTAATGTAAATACTATTTACTATTTGTATTGCTTAATTTATTTTTCAAGTGGTAATAAATATATCCTTCATTAGTTTCTTTCACTTCAATACATATGCACATAAACGACAATAGCCAATATGTTTGTTTATATACTGGCTTATTTGAACCTACTGTTAAACAATAAACTTGTTGAATAAATTAATTAGTTTTTCAACTAGTTACTTGTTTACGAAAAATGGTGAAGTTTCGTTAACGATAAAAAACGTCAATGACCCACCTCTAATGTATTCTCTTTACCAATTTTGCATTAACGGCAATGCTTACTTTGACGACGCGACGTTGCCAAATAATTTTGTATGAAGCTTTTTTATTGTGGCGTCAGAATGCAGTTTATTATTTTTATTGGGAATAAAGCACAATTTTACTTTAAAATAAGCTTATTTTGATGTTTAGATTTTCAAATTTTTGAAATCGTACTTAAAATACGAAACATTAATAAATTTTATTTATATAAAACGATTTCCGAAGTGGAAATCAAAATGTTAAATTAAACTTATTGTAAAGTAAACTTGTGGCACATTCCCAATAAAAAACAGTAAGCTGCCATTTAAATCCCTTCGCCCAAATTTGATTATCTTATAACATTGTTCAAATGCTAAAAAGACAACAGGTCAAATAAAACCAATAAGTTTGACTACGTTGAACTTCCCCTTTTTTATTATTTCCACTAACGTATTTTCGACGATATAAAGACCGGACCTAATATACCTCTCTCTTTTTAAACAGGTGTTTCTGTTACACTGTATAGATTTCAACATCCTGAATATTTGCACATTTGTGTTTTGTAGTTTGCAAACTATAAATTAAAATTGAATGAAAGCCATGTAAACTATGGTGACTATAATTATTAATTATTGGACAGTGATTGTGTGATATCTACAATAAAAAATCTTTAATTATTTGACACTTACGTGAATGGGCAAGAGACAAAGCCCACAATCGAAGATAGGAAGCAGTATGAGAAACAGATCCCAAAACATATTCAATGGTATGGATGGCTTGGTGAATAAAGATTTCGCTCATAGGTTCTTCTTCGTGGTCACCATGTCCGCCTCCACCTATTGCTGGTTGCTGTGAGGTGTTGTTGTGCATTGGTTGCTCGGCGTCTCCATTTTCTGTAGCTGATTGCATCTGTTGGTGAGTTACCTGTAAGAAAATGTTAATTTAAGAATTCCTTTATAAAAGGTATATTAAAACACCCTATCGGGCTACATCACCGCTACCAAAATTAACCTCTTGTAATAAACTAGGTGCGCAGCAACAGCAATTGCTAATGTTATGGTGTTATGGGCATTAAGATCAGAGCAAGAAGGGGTACTAATATCGAAAGGAATGATAGCAGAATTGCAACTTGGGAAAAGCGGCTATAGGGAAAATTGAATCATTGCGTAGGGAATTTGAACAAATAACGGAAACATCCGAGGAATAAGAAATAGAAAAATCATCAAGATAGCTGAAGAGATATTGCGGAACACTCTGACACTCACAACATGATCCAGAAAATAACATACCGCAACAATGCCTGGACACATTAAAACAAACTTTCCGTTTATTCAGGTCGCCTAAGGAGATACAAAGTAAGTAACAACCGAAAATGCGACAATACACTTTTTGAGCATATAGAGGAGGTGTTTTATAGGAAACTTAATTCCACTATAGAAAATGAAAATAAATCATATCCAAGCCAAGAAGAAATTCATGAGTTCTGGGTATATCAACTTTCTACGCCAGTTACTCAGAACATAACACAACGAACAAGTGTCAACATTACAATAAAATTACTTACGAACCCTTCACCACCGAAGAAGTCTCAAATACTATCAAAGAGCTTCATAACTGGAAATCTCCTGGACCAAACGGAGTTCAGAACTTCTGGTTAAAGAAGTTTTGGAGTGTTCATGAGTGTTTGTTAGGGAACCACTTACCTAATACCAAAGGATCAAAATAACACATAGATCCAGCCACGAACCGCCCAAAAGTTTTCCAACTTGGTACAAATTGATCACATCCTGTATAGCCCAGCGTATCTACCAACACTGTGCTCTAAACAATATCATAGAGCCTCAATAGAAAGGATGCGCTAAGGGCTGCATGGGTTGTAAAGAACAACTTATTATCGACTCAGTCATTTCTAACCAGGCATAGATCAGACAAAAAAGGAATCTTTTTACTGCGTTTATTGAGTACAAAAGGCCTGTCATGAGTACTGCATGAATGGCTTATAGATATATTGAAAATATATAAAGTCGATAATAATCTAATGACCTTTTTAAAGCTATAATGGCAAAGTGAAAGACTAAAATTCACATTCAAATACCTGGTGAAACCAATATCGAAACTGAAGATATCCCAATTAACCTGGGCCTTTTCAAGGGGGATTCGTTGAGTCCTCTTTGGTTTTGTTTAGCGATGAACCTACTATATCAGCTACTGAACTCCACTGACTCAGGATTTATCATCAAAAATAATAATACTGTTGTGGCGAAGCTTAATCATTTGTTGTGCATGGATGATTTGATATTAATAACTTCCACTCGAAACAGCTTCGATATTAATAACTTCAGCCTGGAGGTTTCGATATGCAAGATGACCAAAACATCGAGGCAATGGGTGAAAATGATATGTACAGATATCTCGGAGTAAAACGAGAGCCGAAAATTGACCATAAACTAATGAAAACTGAACTAACTTCTGAGTTCGTGCGAAGAGTAAGACAACTAAATTGGTCATATCTTAATAGTAAAACTTTGTTTAAAGCATTAAATACTTACGCCTGTTCCGCGCTGAGCTACTGATTTAGTTTTATAAAGTGGTCAAAAACGGATATAGAGGGTCTTCAGCGGAAAGTAAGAACACTTCTCACAAAGGGGCAAAAACATCATCCACGCAGTGCAGTAGAGAGAACAACATTACCGCGGTATCCAGGGCGAAGATGACTTATGGATATAGCTGAGCAATTGGATAAACAAATTTAACAATTTGTTTATTTAAGAACAATTTAAGAACTTATTTTCAGGTACAGACTGAGACATCTACTTTACATCGAGCAATTTGCGCAGTAGATGATACAACGCCGCTTAAACTGAGGGAACAAGAAATGCGCATAAACCACCTGACTAAGCAAGAAAAAATACGCACCTGGATGAGTAAACCTCTGCATGGGCGACATCTCAATGAGATCAGCTAATAATATGGAAGATGTTTCCCGAGACTGAGGGTTTCCTACTTGCCATTCAGGGTCAGGTTATTCCAACTAAATATTACCTGAAATATATTGTTTGAACTTAAGTGACAAATGCCTATATGGATGCCAAGCCAAAGAAACCATCCAATATCTTACCGGTGGCTGCCAGGCATTTGTCGGTACTGATTATAAAGAACGCCATGACTCAGTAGGAAAGATTATCCACCAAGAACTAGCCGGCAAACTGAGACACTGAGACTTCTCCAAACCGACCATCTTCCTTTTATCAATACGTCCCTGACAGAATGCTTGAAAATGACAACTACAAGCTATACTGGAACCACACTGTGCTTACAGATCAACCAGCGGCACATAATAGACCGGATCTCATACTAGTTAATAAAATTACTAGGCAAACAACATTTATTGATACCCAATACCAAGAATTTACGTCTTAAATACAACGAAAAAAAATCCTATCTTCTACTGGTGTTATTCCCAAAAACCTCCTAGAGAACATAAAACATCTGGGTCTAAATGAACATCTCTATAAGGCCATGAGGAAAGCTGTACTCCTCGCGACGTCCAGATGTGTACGAAAATTTTTGGGAGATACTCCAACATACCAAGTCACCTAGGGCTCGATAACACGGAAAGAGTCACACCAGAGCTCAATCCTTTTGATACCGTAGGTGTCTGGGATGAGTGAATTTTCCCCTTAGATGGAGTGAGAGCCGTGTGGCTAAATCTGGGAAATAATAATAAGTGTGTAATAATAAAGTTACTTACAGAATACTGTTGTGTACGTTTGCGTTCTTGCATGATGACTATTGGTTTTGCTAACAACATCCATGGTATACAAATCATAGCACAGGCAAATAAGAACTTCTGGAAACCCGACTGTCCTGAATACATGTTGTAAGTTTGACATCGCTTCTCGAAGGGAGTCTCTTTTTGAAGGATCATGTTAATAAACGTAATCAGAACGTTTGGAGCACATCGTGTACCCAATTGGAAGGCTTCGTCTGAAAAATAAAGCATATCTATTATTAACGTTCAAAGTTGTAATTTCACTTTTCATTGCTTTAAAATTTACACTTCCCCCACTGTTCTTCGAGAGGCTCGCTCAATAACTCTTTACGTTTAAAGCCAAGGTTTTATTTTAAAAGCAACAATTTTAAAAACAACTCATTTTAACTTTCCATTGTTGTCGTAAGATTTGGTGTTTAGCGTGATTCTCTACTACCACTGCAGCCAACATCAATGCTGCTCCCATTACAGCCAATATCAATGCTACTGCTATTACATCCCACATTTATCCCCATGTGAAGTTACAACCAGCTCTTCTGCAGAAGTAAGTATTTACGTATTAGCCATAAGTATATTGTTAATACTAATAATAGTATGACTATTTAGTATACATATTTTATTTGTCTCTCCCAAATTTCTCGATGTAAAATTTGTATTAAGATACCACACCTTAGAAAGAGCTTTCAAAGCTCGAACAATAAAATTATATAGCTACACGACTTTTATTGTTAAACAATTGGCATCCAATGATCTACGTAGTTGATTTTTGTTACAAACTTCCGACCAAGGGTATATTGGCTGCTATATTGTTACAACCAATTGATTTTTATAATATGATATTCAAAACTTACCAGTATCAACTTCGTTAGCGTAATAAAGGAACCATTTAATGAACATCAGGATAACCATGTAGAAGAACAAGAAAACGAGGAAGATCACTTGGGGGATAAATTCTGCTAGTGTGCTGAGCTTGTCCTTAAAATACCTGCAAAATTCAACATTTACTATTTTAGTAATTAAGCCACTTCAATTAATATGTATATATTAGTATGCTATTAATTCTCAAACTTGTTGTCTATGTTTATAGAGCAGCCTTTGCATCAATAATATTGTTACGAAAGTTGCGTAAGATTTATCCCACATAGAAAAAGTGCCTTGACGAAAAACAACTATTCAAATTCTTGAATATTAGAAAGTAAATACAAGGTCTATTTAATTAAATAAAGAAATGAATACGTCCGGACCCCCGCAGGGTCTTTAAAAATGGAAGAGCTTAAGGAAAAGACTAGAGAAAAGAGAAAAGAGAAAGAGAAAGTGGAAAAGGAGAATCGCAAGGAGGTGAAGGAGAAGAGTAGACAAGATAGTGTGACAAGTAGAAAAGTATAGGTAGAACTCACGAATGGTTTATCTCAAATTAACGACAATTTTCAGTTAGAGGTAAGTCATATTACCAGTAGTATATTATTTATTATATATTATATATTATATTTATTAGTAATAAATTAGAAGAACAACAGAACGATATCAAAACCGATTTAGAAAACAAAATGAAATGAAAAAACAAAAGGATTTAAAATTTAATTGAAGAAAGAAAAGTTGAATTAGAAAGTAAACTTAATACCCAAGCTTTATTGCCTAATGTCGAATCAGTAATCCATAGTTGAAACATGTACAATAAGAATTAGCAAAATTTTAAAACCACCTCGTTTTCAATTCGAAGCTGCTACTAGAGCAAATGGCTGAACTGGGAAAGAAATAGTAGCTTCCTTGGTAGTATCGCTTAGAGGACAGGCAGCAACCGTCTTGCAATTTCTTCCATAGGATGAACCCGGTTATACCTCTCTCGTTAATGCTTTAGAGACAAGATATACCAGCAGCATCTAAAGCAGGTTTTCCAAAGTCAGCTGATAGTTCGATATCAAAAGCCTGCAAGAATTTGACGTTGATATTAAAAGATTATTGCATTTAGCGTACACTCAGGCACCCAAATATTTTGTGGAACAAATTGGTAAACAGATGAAATATATTTATATGAAATATTAATCTCAGTCAAGGTACATAAAGTAGCGAAAAGTTTTTGCAGATCTATGCCAAAATTAAAAGAAATAAAATTTCGAGAAAATGAGGAAGTCATAACATCAGATAACCTACAACCTATTTTTTCACAGATCTTTAGCATACTACAGAATCTTCAATAAAAATGTCAAAATCAAAGCATAAAATGCTTTAATTGCGGAAGAATAGGGTATTTGCAAAAGCCGATCTCAGACAAGGACAGAAGAACCAAATAATGAGATCAGAAGATCGCCTAGATCGACATCTAGAAGCCCATCACATAGTCCTATTAGAAATACTAGTGATATGTCTCGAAAAAATCGATTTCCCACAAGTGACCATAGAAGTAAAAAAGAAACTCTGAAATCTGAAGTTGCACATTTGAAGAAGCACCTAGCGATTAGTAAAAATGAAATAGAACAAATAGTTAAGAGAACAGGTGTCAATTTTGCAGAATGAGCAATTACAAGAAATCCAAGATGTTTTGAACAAATTACACGTTCAAAGTCAATGTCAGCTTGAAGAAAAAAGAGAATGTAACCGAAGAAGTAAGTCTCCGGACGACTACAGTTAATCAGGAAGAAGATAACTCTGGAAAACCTTAAAAAAAAAACAAAAAAAAAATAATAACAAAAGTCATACGACAGTGTCTTAAAAATGGAGTAAGATCTATTTGGCAGGAAATAGCCAAATATAGTGGAACTATAAAAGCGTACTACAGTTAATCAGGAAGAAGATAACTCTGGAAAACCTTAAAAAGAGAAAAAAAAATGACAAAAGTCATACGAGAATGGCTTAAAAATGGAGTAAGATCTATTTGGCAGGAAATAGCCAAATATAGTGGAACTACAAAAGCGTACTGGGCTCAATAGAAATCTAATCTACTACTGCCAAAATCATACTTTAAAAGTGTTTTGCAAGAACTTCATAGCAGCCTTTCTGGAAACATTTTGGAGTCAAAAGAACACTGGTCAGAGTTCGAGACATATTTTACTGGATAAATTGTCGCAGATATGTAAAAGATTGGTGTAAGAAATGCGACTTATGTAATGGTAGAAAAGACCCTAGAACAAGAAGTTGTGGTAAAATGACACAACATCTTTCCGGAAAACCTTTTGAACGACTTGAAGTGGATATTCTAGGTCCACTTAGCATGATAGAGAGAGGAAACAAATACTTAATGGTCCCAATGGAATATTTTTTAAAATGTCCTGAAATTGCACCCCTTTCTAATCAAGAAGCGACTAGAGTAGCAGAAGCATTCATAATACACGTCATATCAAGTCATGGAGTTACTTTAGAGTTACATTCTGATCAAGGAAAAAAAATTTGAATAAGATTCCTGACGTACATCGAACATTTGAAAGAAAAATTGGAAAAAGTCTACGAATTTGCTTGTACAACTTTCAAAAGAGGTAACCCAGTATATTTATATAATCCCAGATGTAAGAAAGGACTTTGTCCGAAACTTTAACAAAATTAGGAAGGCCCGTACACCATCCTGCAGAAAATAAACGATTTAATCCACTACATCCAGTTTTCAGCTAGAAGTAAACCCAAGGTAGTTCATATCGATAGATTAGCTCTATACCATGGAACTGATCCATCCTGTTGGCTTCAACCGGTCCTTATAGACCAGTTATTCAAGGAGGTAGCAGTGTAACGAAAATTCCAAAAGTTCCGTAAGATTTGTCCCACATAGTCCAAATCTGGAACGTCAGAAAAAATATATAAACAAATGTTGACAGTTTGGAACAGTGGTATTTTGAAGTTTATAGTTGTCATTCAGTTAAAGTTGTATTAAGTATTGTAATGTTGTTGTTTTTGAATCAAGTTATTTGAAAAAATTGTAACAATACAATGTTTAATCATTCCGCAAAACACCAGCATGCTATCGCGATTTTAAGATGCTCAGATCATCAGACATGAGCAGATATGTAAAAACTCAACGAGGCAAAACTCAATTATTGCAAATGACTATTGTCATTTGAGGTAGCGACAATCATGTGCCAATGAAACTTCCAGAAAAATTTTCTGTGTTTTATATTTAGATATATGTAGGACAGCATATATATACACCTCAAATACAAAAAATTCTGTCAGTCGACGCGTTGGGTTTTTGACTCACATTCTGGTAAATTATTAGGGATAGTATTTATTCTATACTCCCCTCCTTAATTTTTTCCGTCCTATAGTGACGAACGAAATTGCACGTACTTGCAATTTTAATATTGGTATTTTTGAGTACAATTGAAGTAAATTAAGGATTCTCGGAGGACTATTTAATGCAATGATATAGAATATTGCTAGTTAGACGACAACCTGAAGGAAACCAATACAAGTAGTAATTTAATAGAGCATATATATCAGCACTACGATAACTTATATCAATTTCTTATAGATCCACTCCTAATAATTTTCAGCTCTCTCTATCTATACTGTGTGTTCATAATATTTAGTCTCTGAGAATGAATCTGTAGATATCTGCTTATTTCAGAAAACTATTTTGAAAGATCAATTTTGCAATTGTTTAAAGCTACCGAAAATAGTAATAGCTTTTATTTATAGCTACCAGCACACACATTTTCTAGAATAACCATTTTGTACAATATGACCTATGGTTTATATTTAAACATTTTGCAATTAAGAGCAGATGTCAAATTGATTTTCATCAACCGTGTTGATTTTATAAAAAGAAATTAACCAAAATGATCATAAATCTATACGTACTGTTAGCATAAAAGTGACATTTACTTACATGTTGTTTAAAAGACTCATTACGACACCGAACAACATGTGCAGAATTCCCAAAATAATGGAAATCTTCATTTTGAAGGAATTCTGGAAAATAATTTTGTTCTTGGCCAACTGCCAAACGGGATCCATTCCGATTGGATAAGGTGTTCCTGCATAGTTCTCTGTAGTTTTAGGGTCTAGAACGTACAGGCCCGGTTCAAAATATTTTGATATGTTCCGAATTTCCCAACTGGTTCCAAATAAGTTCAATGATTTTGCGAAACAATCGTTGTAAATGAAACCCGTATACATCGAGAAGCAACCCATAAGAAGAATTATATAACGACCGCCGAAGAAGATGTTCCATATCTGTAAAAAAAGAAATGATGTAATAAATGGGATCACACCTAGGACATTTATATGCAATTCTAAAATACAGTATTGGAAATAATCAACAATTTAAAAACTTATCGTGCTTACCTCATTATCTGACTTTTTCGCAGCCAGAGGTTTTTCTTTGAATACCATCCATGCGCCAAAGACGGCCATTAGAAGACCATGACCCAAATCACCAAACATCACAGCAAACAAAAATGGGAAAGTGATAATTGTGTACGGCGTTGGGTTCATTTCTCTATACGAAGCGATACCGTAAGCGTCTATTAGAGTTTGGAAACCATTTGTGAATTTGTTCGTATGATTATATGTTGGCGGGTCTTCGGCGGTGTCCATTCGATTCAAAATAGGAGGCACTGAACTGCCACTTCGTTCCTAAAAGAGTTATAATAGCATATATTATATGCACATATACATATGATACATAAAAGATTAAATTTTTTAGCAATTGCTGCTATCGCTTTATTGAATTAAATGGTCAAATATATGGCCTAGGAGGACAAATTCGTTAAACTTTCAATGGCTACTTTCAGTGTCTACCTATCTACTGCTGACTTACGGAGCGCAACTGTGGGAAAGCACTAAACAATATAAAAAAAATATATTCAACGCTTTCAAAATAAAGTATTAAGAAACATGCTCCTTGGTACCGTATAAAGAAGGCATACGGTGGGAACGTGAGCATAGAAATGGTCAGTAACAAATCAAGAGATTTGAAGAAAATCTTGAAGATTATTCATAATCATAACAATGTGGATCTTTAACCACACTTGCTTAAGAACTTCTTGTACTCTGGATGAAACTTAAAATTATCCATGTTACTAATGCAACACTTTATGTTTCATATGAAATAAAGGGAAATCATTGGGTAAACCTTAAAACATTACAAAAACCAACAAAATGAAAAAAAAATTGGTACTGGAAAAGTAATAACCAATTTTACATATTTTTGATGCGCTGGTTTCAAAGATGACTTTCTTTTTTTTTTCACAGTATACTTTTAATAAACCGTAAATATTAAATATATTTTTACAGGTCAAAACCAAAACTTTCAACGAAAAATTACAATCAAATTTCTTGTATTAGCTACTCAGAAATCCCCAAATTTCTGGTACTCACCGAATTCTCACGACCGAATGTGGAGATAACCAAGAATTCATCAAGATGATTGTTATTTTTTTATTCTAAATATTAAAGGCATCTATCGTGACAAAAATGGACATATCATGATCTAGATTCAGCAAGGAGTCCAAAATAAACATGCCTCCCAACTCCCAACGTTTCATTTAACAAGAACTGAATGACCTTGTTAGAAACCTATACAAGGAGGCTTCTGAATTATTCGCCTACAAATTAAAAGAATCTAATATATCCAGATACTAATATTACATTTTATCGCAAAAGAAATCGAGATCTATTGCCATTTTTCTTTCAAGAAAATAACCTGGTTTTCTGTAACGAGGTAAGAGGACTATTGGAAAAAAATTAGTTTGGAAATAAACACCAGACAAATTTTTATAGACAGTTCAGAACGGTAATAAATTTAATAAACCGGGTCAATATAAGTGTAACATAAAAGAAAATGCAGTTTGCACATTATTTCTCGGCGGATTTCTCATCATAGAGCCATTTTGTAGGACAGTAACAATGATAAGAACCAAATACAAACATTGTTGACATATGTGCTACTGGTACTTAATTAAACAAACAAAAAAAAACAAATGCATTTCTACTTTTCAATTCTATTTTTCAGTAATAAGATACTTACAGTTCCACGCCTTAATGCCAATTGGATATTCTCCAAATCGAGTACTGGCACCCAACATTCTGCAATCAAACATTTTTGAGTAACATCCAAGTTAAATAAGTTCAATGTGTGGTAAATGGCCTTTATTTTCCTGACTTTAACGAACCAATTTTTAATATTCTTAGCAGCGGCTACAAGAACTCTGTGGCGATGGTCTTGAGTTTGGCCCAAAACCTACAATAAAAAAGAACACCATATAATAATTTCATAAATTAGGATACTGTCCAATATTTATTCAGCCATCAACAGTTTCAAGGTTTATACGAATAAAATAGTTTTAATATTTGTTATAAATGATATGATTTAACTTAATAATTTAGTTAAACAAATTTTTGTTTGTCAGAACAATAAATTTTATAGATATGCAAAACCATACTTACAGTATTGAGATCTTCAATTCTTGTCATGACACCCATAGCCATCTCTCTGCGATCGGCAGGAGCTTCTGGGCAAGGGTAAAGTGTAGCCCTGAATCCTTCGCAGATTTTCTTCACTCTCGTCTTTAACTGATCTCCTTGGAAGAAAATTATGAATACGGATTTGTAAACTTGATCTCCCTAAAAATATATTATATTAGCTACGGACTTAAATTCAACTGTAGTTGCAGGTATATATTAAATACACTCACACATATATAATATGATCTTAATATATAAAATATTCTTGGTATACATAACGTACATTTTTTATTGTAACTTCGCTACACCAGATCAAAGCCCGGAGTCTCATCATACAAGAGATGAGAAAGGATAATAGATAGACGACTAACACCTCTTTAAAAAGTAAGGGTTCATCTGGCCGGGATGATAGCATCCTATAAGGAATACAGGTCAAAAGCTGTTAAAAATTGAAGACACAATTTCGAAGGGGGGAAGAACCAAACAGAATAGCTGAATTTCATAAATGGTGGTAGAAAATTATTCTAAAGAAAGAAAAGCTTGATCAAAAACTACATTGACACACCAGGGCCAAGTTTGCGGCACTGGACCTGTACTTCATCTTCTAGCTAAAACAAATTTAACAGTCTCGAAACACATACGGAAAACGTGAAATCAAATCAGATGACGAAAATGTATTATCAACTGTATAAATAGAAATGCTCTTACTGCAACTTAGAATAAAACGTACAGAAATTATAAATATGCACAAAAATAAAGTATAGACATTGGAGAATACACAGTCAACTGTAGCGGAGTATTAAAAAAATCACAGAAAGGTCTAGCGAGACAGATAAAAAAGATATGTAAAACAAACATCACGATTATCGATATCGAAAATATTAGAGAAAAGAAGATACACCTGAACGTCATGGGAAGAAGACTATTTATTTTTCTTCTTTTTCTAGTGACGATTCCATTAATGGCTATAACCATTGCAAATTGTGTTTAACCCGGTCCATTCCCGAATGTTTTTTAGCCAGGACATTTGTCGTCTACCAAGACCCATTTTCCTTAGATTTTACCCTTCATAATCAGCTGCAACAACTCATAGTTATCATTTCTAAGTATGTGCCCCAAATATGCTGTCTTTCTCCTATAATGGTAGTCACAAGTTCTCCATCTCTTCCCATTCTTATATATTATGTTCATAGTTATGTTCTGCTAAACTCTTGGTCTTGGATTTTTGGTTACTAGTACGTGCTTCGTCTTCTCTTCATTTATTCGAAGGCCCACACTACCTGTTTCCTCTTTCGTCTCTTATAGAACGACTGCATCTAGATCATCAGCAAAGCAACCAATAGTTTTGATCCTCTATTCGCAAATCTCCCTGTCAGCTCAGACGATATTTTACTTATTGCATATTCAAAGACTAAAGTGAACAGCAACAGTGAAGTTGTAGCATTTTCAATTTCATTGATTCTTTGAAGTATATTGAAATTCCTCGTATATGAAATATATGGAAATCGCCTTATATATGTTTAAAAAATAAAACGAAGAATTTTTTCCGTGTTTGTTAGTTCGTATCTTTCAAGTTAAAATACGCAAAAGTGTTTTCAATAATTGTATTTGCATTGCTAGACGTTAAAATAAACCATTTTAGAGTTGTTTATAATTTTAACTTTTTCGGCAATTTTTTTTAATGTTTTATTCGAAGTCGCATTATAATTTTTATACGTTGTAGAAGTGGAATCTTTTACGTTTTAATTTCGTTGTATTTTGTTATGTCAGCGTTTGTTTTATTTTCAAGTTAGGAACGAATTTTTAAATTCGTCATTCATACTTGGGTTGCCGGTGGAGTCAGGTGTGACCAAATAGATTCTGGTTCGCTGTGTGGATCGCAAGTATGGATCCACAAATTCTCTGTCGAATTTGTGTTCTTCTGTTTTGGCCCTTTTAGTGGAAATATGTGGCAGTAGAAAAAATAATTTGTGTGGTGTACCAGAGCATGGTACAATTTTAAAGACATATATAGGATGTCCCACCAGCTTTTTTTTTTGGTCGTTTGCCTGCTTAATCCAACCCCGTCTATGTCAGATCTTCGTTCAAGTATGGAATTGGTTTCCCCTTGTTCCAGAGTTTCGTCCTAGCAGCTCCAATCCAGAGATGTAACAAGTTTTTGTTTCTTTTCGTAAAGTGGAAATATGTGAAACCAGGTAACTGTTTATTGTTTGTTTAATTTCAAAGTAAAGACAGATATTTTTTTAGACCAATAATTGCTTTCGGTAAAATTTAGAAATTGTAAGATTTAAAAATTGTAATGGGGTAACATGTAAGTTTTATGTAGTATCTCCAACTCCTGGAGTTTGTAAGCGGATGACTCACGTAAGTTTTTTGTATTATTGTAGTTCTCCATGTTGTAACTGTTTGTGGTGACACAAAAATAAATGTTAAATTTTGTTTTCTTAACATTTTAAGTCCTGATGTTATACTAAATGGCATCGATGTTCTGTTTCCTATCTTTACCTGTGCATATGAGTCTGTCATGCACATTTGAATTAGCTCCACTAATTTTCTTGGTATTCTCATTTCTAGCATTGCTAGCTTTAGTTTAATTATTTTTATCGAATGATATGTTTGCTGGCAATCTACGAAAATTATTTATTCATCATGGTTGAATTCCTAGTTTTTTCTAATATTTGTTAGATCGTAAATATTTGAATATTTGAAATTCACTCAAAAATAGAAAGTCACCAGGACCTGACGGAATAACCAACGAGCTTCTAAAACACGGAGGAGAAAGTATAACCCTTGACATGACAAAACTTATACAAAAACTAATATTGCACTGTAAGATACCAGACGCATGGAAAAACAGCATAATGATACCAATGTTCAAGAAAGGAGCTAAAGAAGACCCCAACAATTATAGAGGTATAAATCTACTGAATACCGTACTTAAGCTTAACTCAAAAGTTCTAACCAACAACATCAACAAACTAACAACTTTATCAGATGAACAACAAGGATTCAAATCCGGAAGATCTTGCGTAGATGCCGTATTTGTACTAGGACAAATCACAGAAAAGACCATCGAGTACAATAAACCAGCATATCTATGTTTTATAGACCTGACAAAGGCTTTTGATCGCATCCAATATAGCCAATATATCCAAGATATAACAAGCGATATGCCTCTATAGTTTCGAAATTATTATTTGTCTCCCTTCTTATGTATGGCTATTATAACGCCTCCATTTCATTTCCTAGACATTTTCTGTTGTTACCATACTCTCGAAGAATGTCAAACAATTTTTGATGTAAAACATTTCTTCCTTTTTTTATCAATTCTCAAAACGTTCCTCAAAAGATACTGGGTTGGAAAAACCATATAAAAAAGAAAAGAGAAAAACTAAATCTCAAAATTGGAATGCTAGGAAAAAATTTTGAACTATCCGTCGATAAAAAGAATGAAGTAATCCAGAGGTTTCAGAAAAGTTACGATGCTCGATCGTACGTAAGAAACAGTTTCATCCATAAAGACCTGAAATGGAGACCCAAGATAAGAAAACCCTTTGAGTTGTTGAAGTGAAAAACAGTGAGTATGAAAGCAAAAAAGTGGCGATACTATTACTGTAACTAGGCTAGACTCTATAGAAACAGTAAAAAATGAAACTAAAGTCCAAAATACCCCTTTTTAATAATTTTAGAAAATATCTGCACATTGATCTATCTGCTCAGATTGTGGTAACAAGAATATTCTATCATTTACACATTTACCTACAAGAAGGATTTTATTTATTTAGTATATTTTTAGACCAGCTCCTTGTTTGAAATTTCCAGGATTTTAAGCGGACAATATAAATATAGATAAATTAAATTGTAGGAGTTAGTCTAATATATAAATTTGTAGCGTTAAGTAATAAAATATTATAAATTACTTATGGGATTAGTGTTAGTGTTAGAAATAAATTAAAATAAGTGTTAAAAGGTTGTACATAAATAAAAACTAAAAATAAAATAATATTAATTTATTAATAATTTTGTTGTGTAAATCCATCTCGAATACTTACACTTGCTGGATCTTCTAGGGGAGTCTCGATCTCAGCTTGTCTTAAGAAGACGTTTCCTCTGCACGCTCTCCACAGCATTCTTTCGAACGCCGGGATCCTTTCTCTCAAAATAACTCCAGCGACGAAGCTATATACATAAAATAAAATTGAATATCTGTCTTTATATAAATGAAAAACTTAACAACAAAGAATGCAAGCTGTACAAATATACAAATATAATATCGATATAAAATGTTCATACTATTTCCGAATTTAGATTAAAATCTGTAGTTCTCTCAGCACATGACGGCAATTTAATTATAAACATTAAAGTACACAAAAATTTAGCGGTAGGTAAGGAAATAAGATGCGACAGTACAATTTGGCAGCATTAAAAACATAAACTTAAAAGTACTTTTGCTAATATAAAAAAAGTATTACACTAGCTAAAATAAAAAAAATAATACTGACCATGGGAAGTATTCCTCCGAGTCATACTGTTTTTCCGGGAAACTATTAAAAGTATGTATGTTATAGAGTTTATTACATCAAGGATATCATTTTGTGCTAATGTTTATGAATGTATGAGTGCAGAGAATATGTGCAAGATGAAAAACAAAGCTATTTTTGGCTAGCGGTATAATGAATTGTAATATGTTCAACAAATATCCTACAATGGCAATTTATTGGTAGCTGCTATATGTATCTTTACCGTTTTTTATTTAGCTTTAAGTGTTAATATTTTAGATAAACTTCTTGGTAATAATAATTATTCATGATCAAAAGTCATATCAATTATAATAGAAAATGAAATTACCACCACTGTATATGAAACAGAAATTAGAGAAGGAAATTTATTAAATTTCTTTTCTCCAAGACCATTAATTAGTCAATACAATAATTCTGAAAGCAATTTTAAAAATATAAATAAAAATTCATGAGTAGAATATTTATTCTAAAACTCTTGAAATCGGGTTTCAAGAGTTTAGAAGTAGGTAGAAATAATTAAAATCTTTATTAAGAAGCTCTTCTGAAAAATCGAAGATTTTTTTAGAGTAACATTTTTATTTTTAAGTCGTTCTAGTTATTAGTGGAGCTGAGATTTGGACATTAAAAAAATGCAATTTAAAAAGAATCGAGGCGTTCAAACTCTGGTTATACCGCAGAGTATTAAAAATATCATGAACTGATAGAATTACAAATCAAGAAGTACTGGAGAGGGTTGGTAAAGAAACAGAACTAATCACCACTATACAAACCAAAAAACTGGAATACCTAGGCCACGTGATGAGGGATCCAAAATATGAAATTTTGAGACTCATAATACAATATTCAAGGAAGATCTGTTGGCCGAAGGCAGAACTCATGGTTAAAGAATCTACGTGATTGGTATCAATGCAGATCGATTGATTTGTTTAGAGCAGCAAGTTCTAAAATAAAAATAGCCATTATGATTGCTAACCCCCGTAGGGGGACGGCACTCTAAGAAGAGAATAAGAAGAATAAGTTATTAGTATTTTGGAGGTTCGTTGCAAGGATAACTTTTAAAACAATAAAAATTACCAACACTAAAGATTTAGTATCAGCAATACTAATTGCGAATTTGTTATACCAAGTAAATTAGTAAAATTAGTTCAAGCTACCATGAGTCACACAAATGCGAAAGTTCGAATCCAAGACCAACTGACAGATCCCTTCCAGAGAACAAGGGATGTGGGCTCGCTCGGAATCTGTCTGTAAATCCAAAACATATATTATTTACCGTGAGAGACATCACATAACGTTATGAGGAAAAATGAAAAAGTAATTTGAGTACCTAGATAAAATAGACGGATACTGAGGATCTCCTGGGTGGACCGAGTAACAAACATTGAGGTTCTACGTCGGATGGATAAGACATATGAAATTACATCCACAGTGAAACAGCGCAAGCTAGAATATCTTGGACATATAATGCGAAACGACCATAGATATAACCTGCTGCAACTTATACTACAGGAATAGGTCTACGGAAAGAGGGGACCAGGAAGAAGAACGTCTATTTCGAGCTGCGGTCAATAAAGTTAGAATTGTCATGGTAGTTGTCAACATCCGTAACGGATAGGCACCACAAGAAGAAGAAGGTAAAATGTAGATAAAACTAGAGCCCTAATAGCAGCAAGGAAAAAACGAATTTTACAAAATTTGATAAAAGCCGAGGCAAATATTGAAGTTTGTAAAACAGCTCACATACCTGATTGAACATATAACTGAGGGCTACAGCGAGGAGAAGGGAATACGAAAAAGGATAATGCTTGCTAACAAAGCATACTTCTCTCTGCCGCAGATATTTGGATCCAAAGGCATCCATATTGAAATAGAGTTCAAAATATATAAAACCATCATCCGACCAATAGCCTCATATAGCACAGAAACATGGATCACGACAGAAAAAAGAATAAACTCCTTTTGAAAGAAATATATTGAGACCCAGGCTTAACTACGAGTTATACCAATATTACAAATAACCCTCAATAGCAATTATTGCAAAAATACAAAGATTGTGCTGGACAGGTCATCTTATAAGAATGGATAATACCAGAACACTTCGTATAACGCTTAGTGGAACTACAGTGCGACGTGGCGTCGGCAAGTCGGAAGATCAAGAAAGAGGTGGATAGACGAAGTGGGAGTGCAGCTGAAGAAAGGGATTCTTGCAGACGAATGCTGGAAGAGACCAGGGTCCGACTTGAGCTGTAGCGCCGTTGAAGAGAAAGAGAATACTAATTGAAATAATAAGACAACATCTAAAAAACCAACAGAGTTTGCAATCAGAAGAGAGAGAGAGAGAGAGAGAGAGAGAGAGAGAGAGAGAAAACAGAGAGAGAATAAGGATTAATAAACAATTGCAATATGCATAATGGAAAATATTTCTGAAAAGCAATAAGCTTTAATAAGCAATAAGTTTCAGTGTTTTATTGATCAGAAAAACCTTTGAACTCATAAAGCGCAACTTTATGAATGTCAAACCTAATAACTATTCTATTATAAATAGGAAGTAAGTTATTCAAATCAAAATCTAAAGCAATCTAATAAATAATTTGAACGAAAGTAAATTCAAGGCAAGAGCGTTTATGCTGTGTAAATAATAATTGATTATGCACATTTACATATCCCATTACCGATCCAAGTTTGTTTAAGATAAAAGTAAATTGTTGTTAAATAATTTACCACTCAATAAAATTACCAGAGTAGCGCTAATCATTTTGCGATAAAAAATTATCGATAATTTAAGTGAAGTTTGAAAAATGATTGCAAGGTTAATAACGCCTTGCAAATATTCATATAATGAGAATAGTGGAAGTGAATAATTAGTGGCAAACAGAAAAAAACACAACACGAAATACATGTTCCTGGAACGAACACCAGAGGATAACCAAAGAGATGTTGCGAAATGATTAGAATAGATATTATATACCTGTAAAGGTATATGTATAACATATAAGAAAAAAAGAGAATTGTAATTAGGAAAGGAAAAAAGTAAACATAATGATCATGATGAATGTTACTTTACTCCTACAGCAGTCCAATCATGGCTGATGCTTAAACAGAGGACTGGATCCTACACAAGTTGAGTTTATTAAAAAAGCAATCAACTCTTCAACAAATATATATGTTAGGCCAGGAAAAAGTCGACTTAGAGCTGGACGGAAAAGTACTGTACACAAATCACTTTTCATATTAACAATTGGCTAAGTTTGGCATCCAGATCTGTTCTTAAAAACTAAAAATATCTGCCCATACTTAGCTATAACTACTAAAATCCTACATTACTAATAGATAATTCGTATCGTAGAGTATGTATCAATGAAACAACATTCAAAAACTCCCATATAAAAGCTGATGCATCGCAAGGAAGTATCCTTGGACCACTTCTTTGTGTACTATTCACTACAGACCTACCAACAAACAGACATACAATTTTATAAACTTGTGCTGCTGATACCGCAATACTAGCGTAGCATATTGATCCAGAGGTCCTTCGAAGATTCTACAGGACCACCTAGAAATCATTCAAATATCGATCCATAAAAGGAAAATAAAAATAAGTGCAATCAAGACAGTTTGTCAACTTACATGGAATGAATATGTTATCGACAAAAGAAAACTAATTACCAGTATAATCTTGAAACTGTATTACAAACGAATTTAGCAAGCACAATTTGGGATTTTTGCTTGCAATGTTGCTTCCTGGTAGATTCAAACCACACGTTGAACGACGACTGATGTATCTTATGTCAAAGATACGTAAAGGACAGAAGCATCAAGCATCATGGCAAACTAGAAAATCACAACAATAACCTATTCCATCCACTTGAACCATACGTCAATAGAAGACTAAAAGGATGCTGTCCAGCAGACTTACGAAGGTAACAATGCGGACCTGCCGCTAGAGAGTATTCATCACGTCACTATAGAGACATAACGCTCTAGTCATCAAATTAGTCTATAGAATTATATGTTTCAATTGCTAATAAATTTATTATTAAAAAAAAACGCTACCTTTACTCAGTTTGTGATTCCTGAAATATACGGAAATAACAATCAATCGCTACACTGGTAACAGCTATCCATAGACCGGCCATCTTATGGATTCTATGACTGACTAAATTAGAAAGTTTATCTGTCCAATTTGGTGTCGATCTTTTTTATGCATCGAACAAATCAGTGTGGTATTGCGAAGTATATAAAAAATGACACAAAAGAGGATAGGACAAACCATGGTGGAACCAGAGTGTGTTTTGTGAGCTTTAGGTATGCTGAGATCTCTAAAGCCTCTTACAAAAATATCTTACAACATTTGGAAAAATAATACTAGATAGATTGAACAATATTTTGGATTTTCAACCGTCAACTTAACAAACGCAGTTACGGATATATGGAATATATGAGTGATTTAAAAGGTTATATCTAAATTATATTACATTATATCCAAAACAAGGTTGTAGCATATAATTTAAAAATATCTGAGATTAACTTAACAGCAGCTACCAATGATTTTTTGCATAAAAGTCGAGGATATTTCTCGAGCACATGAGTTTGCAGTGTATATTTTGGCAATAGAATTATTCAAATGTATATAGAAGCAAATATATTTATATACAAATA